ACTCTGCCATGTTGTTTGGGGCATCATGGTGCTCATCTCTCCATCTCTGGAAAGAGAAAGAAATCATGATAGCTATCTAGTACTGAAACTACTGTGCCTGTTTAAAAAAGCGTGAGTCCTTGCTAAAAAGCTATGCTTTCTCACTGCTCCCTGCACAGATTTGAGCTGCACTTGCTCAGTGTTTGGATGTACCGCAGGGGGAGTTGGCTACAATCTCTACATTATGATTATAAAAATGCTTTTGCATATTTAGGAAAATATGCTCCCCTGTTGTTTGAATGCAGTCTTAAATGACTGCAGAATTTAATTCTTTTAGGTTCAGGAGGCTCTGGTCTGAGTGATGTCCTAGAAGTCCTCCATATGTTCTCTATCCTGCCCCTGTATTTCAGAATCAGCTCTGCTAAAAGAACGCACAATGCAAATCAGGAAAAAACAAGACTTTCTAGCCTAATTAGAAGAAAAAATTACCAGTCTAGGAGACTTACAACGAAAAATAACCTACACTTGACCTTAACCTAAGTCTAGTACTTCAAAGTTAAGCACTCAGTTTTTAAGGATGCTTATTCTTCAAGAACTCTCCTGCCATACACCCTTTAATTATATCCAGACAACACAATCTTTAAAAATATTTTTTTTATAATATTAAATTATGCTTACCAGGAATGCCTTCCTTACCAGACAGCCTGGGGGACACGATAGACAAAGGACTAGGCAGTGAATGACATTTTCACAGTGACGTATTAGCAGGAAAAAAACCCCAAAAACTGGAAGAATTATCAGATGAATGCAGGAATAGGAGTGAAATAGCAGCTAAGGTAGCTGGATTTACACAAAATAATGTAATTCCGTCACTGGTTTACCACATGTTGACCTGCTGAATCAAGGGTCAAAGTCACTGCTTGGTGAGTTTGCAGACTGCTACTTTCTTCAAGTTTTTATTTCCAGACACTCATCTGTACCAGGTTCAGGCATCATTTTCAGACCTCAGGTTCTGATTTGCTTAAAGACTTTCTGGTTCCTTTTTAGGTCCTTTTTGGACCTAGCCTTCTGGCTTGGTTAAAGTTTTTCCCTATAATGAAGTATGCAAAATTTTGTGTTGACACTTATGCTGAAAACAGATCCTAACTGTGCTGAATGAAACAGAAAGCATTCTGTAGTGAAAATAATAATTCCAGACCATGTGCAACAACTAAGACATAGGGCCATGCTTGAAAAAGGAGGGTTAAAATGTCAGCCCTGTCTTGTGAATTAGAGCCCTGCCTTACAGGTTATACACAGGATAAAAAACTAAGATATCTGAAGGAACTAGAAGTTTGGTATTAATCAAGTTTGGCATGCCTGCCTTAGCAGCAATAAACCTGAACTTTTAAAGTCACTCGTTAGGCTTTATTAACTATGAGAAGTGAAATATATTTTAAGGCATTATTCAAGGGACTGTCAAAATCAATTTCTTTTGTTTTGTTTACTAAGGAAGTTAGGTTTGTAAGTGCCCTGTCAATTTTCCTTGTCTCTTCACTGAACTCCCGACTGACATCCAAATTCAGCAGAGGATTGTCAAATGTATCACATTGCCAGAGTTTTTGTGCCAGTATCAAAACAAATTGAGGAGTGCTAGATCCAAGAAATTCCATAGTGTAGGAGCAACAAGTCAGCAGAAGATCAAAGTGCTGCAGGTCTTTGGTCTTCTGTTTTTATAAAGTTGCATTTTGTGCAGCTACTAGTTGATCTGTTAAGTACCATGCAAAAAAGCATAGATTAGGGAGAGGTTCAGGAGTCTTCTGGACACCCAGTGGCACCAGCCAGGGCACCAAGGTGTTCTCATGATGTATGCCCTGGTTGGTTTCCCACACGGGGCAACCGTCCTGCTTATTGACACATTTCTTCTACTCATCCTGCTTACTGACACATTTTGAGACTTTGAAGCATCTTCTGAGAGATCTTTCTTCAGCATGATCTCTTACAGGGGTCTCTCCAGGTTTCTTATTTGGGGAGTGAGTGGGTGGATACAGTGGTATTTTTCTTTCAGATGAAAACACTCTTAAATTTATATAGATCTTACAGCTGCTTTAGTGTCTGCTTTGGCAATCTTTTATTTGGACATGAGCATTTTTGTTTACACAGGAACACCAGACCAAGTGTTCAATCTTTACAAACTGCAATTCTAGATTAACAATAACAATATTTATGATGCATTCACAATGAACCTAGAAGCCATGCATCATTTGTGCAAAAAGGAGAAATGCCATTTGCCTGCATCTGCCTCGCATCTGTAGTTGTCCAGAAAATTAGGACAATATTCAGTCTTCAGAAATAGCTATCACTGGCCATCACCCAGGGCTTAAACTCATACTAACCTTGAAGTGGTCGAAGCTGCAAACAAATCTATATTGAACTGGAAATACTTTGAGCCATTAAGTTAGCTTACCTAAATCGAATAATCAGGAGTATTAATCCTATTTAAAGAAGTGTATAAAGCAGTGTATAGTACTAGAAAGTGATATTTCTGAACCTGCCATTAATGGAGTTCATAAATAAAGTCCCCAAAAGACTGATAGCAGGAAGCCTAAAATCACAAAAATCTTCTCCAAAACTGCAAGTGACAGATTTATGAAAAAGAACTGTGACAAAATCTTGGCGGGGAGTAATATGAATTTTTAAATCTAATTTTGGTTCTCTTTAGAGTGATCTGAGAACTAGAAGACAGTGAATCCTTTGGAAAAGAGGATTAATGAAAGTAACACCCTGAGAGAGTCTCAGACTTAATCCACGTGCTATCAGAAAGGCTGCTCCATCACAGCTGCAGCCCATCAATGATACACTCAACAGCTGCACAAAACTGCACACTACAAGCCAAAGATTGAGAAGTTCCACACCACCTAATTAATTTAGACACACCTGCATATATAAATATATATATATATATGCATTTTTATACGGAACGATACATGAGTATAACACAAAGCAGTTACAAAACAGATACGAAGCAGTACTGGCTTTTAAACTGACCGCTGTTTCTGCTATTCAAGCCCCCGGGCACCGGCGAGAGGAGCCCTTGGGATGGTGCGGCAGCGGCCGGGAGAGGCGGAGGGGCCGCGGGGAGGGCGGCGCTGAGAGCCGGGGCTGCTCGGGAGGAAACGCTGCTGCTCCAGAGCTGGAGAAATCCCCCCGCGCGAGCCGAGAGGAGGGAAATCAGTCACCTGGCGGTGAAGGACAGTAAAACAGGGACGGAGAGGGAAATCTCTGCCTCTCTCTCCCTTCTCTTCTGCAAGAGATCCACCTCCTGTTTTCCTCTCAACTCTTCCAGCATAACCTTCAAAGAAGACCGTACCGTACTGACTTTCTTTTATTATGTATCTGTGTGTGTATATATACAGTACTATTATTATTACTATAGACTATCTTTAGCTGCAAAACAATTTTTAAGCCTATGCAGGACTTGGGGGGTTTTGTTATCTTGCCAGCGAAATTGTTCATCGCTAATGTCTTGCGCTCACAGGGTGCTAAATTAGCTACTAGACTACTCTGGCAGCATGACGGAGAAAGGGTTTTATCATAGACTGTTCTCTTCAGTTTGAACACATCTGCTTGAAATTTGCTGCATGATGCTGTCCAGGGAAGAAGGATTTTTTTTTTTCCTCGGGATACAGCGATTCGCCGGTTTCTGAGCTTATTGCAGAAGAAAAAAAATAATCTTTAAACTGAGTGGATTTTTTTTTTTTTGCTGTCTCCTTTCATTTCCAGAGGACACGAATCTCTCTCACCAGGGAAGGATCACCTGTCGCTTTAATCCTTAAGGGAGTTATTTTTTAAAAAAAAAAAGTGAAATATTTTATTTATTTATTTATTTATTTAAACCGGTGGAGGCGTGATCGCGGAGAATGAGACTGAGGGGAGCTGCCACGGTTTGGAGGACAAGGCTGAGTTTAGGCTGGAAACTGAGAGACTAGATTTCCCCCTTCCTCCTCCTTTTTTATCCCCCCCCATCCCCCCCTTTTTGTTTCTCTTCATTTTTTTTTGGCACAACTTCCGTAGTTTCCAGTCCGCTCCGTTCAGTTTCTCTCTATGGACAGATCAGCTAACCTGGACACGGAGGAGCTCAAGGTAGGCGACCCGCCGGGAGCCGTGGCTGTGGCCGGGGTTGGCTCCCGTCCTGCCCGGCCGGCCGCGGGGCGGGGGCCGCACGGGCGCTGCGCGGGGCTCCCGCAGCCGGGCGGGGCGCGGAGCCGGGCGCAGCCGCCCCGCGGCGGGAGAAGTGCGGGAGGGCGGCTGCCCCGGCCGAGCGCGGCTTCCCTCGTGCCTGCGCGGCCCACATATCGTCATGGCAGTGTTAATAATAATCCTGGTGGTGATGGTGGTAGTGCTGATGCTACTGCCCGTGTGCTCTCGGCTTTGCATGAGCGCTGGGGACAGCGCCGGGGACAGTGAGGAGGAAGCGGCAACTGACCCGCGGCTTTCCCGGCAGAAGTTGGCTCTGAAGCCATTCTGGCCTGGGCATCTCCTCTTCTTCCTCTTTCTCCTCCCCTTGCCGCCGGGAGCGACGGGGAAACCCTTCCCCACGCCTCCACCCCCCTTCTTGGCTCGCCCCCAGCGCGGCGTCCGGTTCCCCCAGGCGAGCGAAGCTGAGGCAGCGGCGGTGGGATGCCGAGCCGCTGGGCCGCGGCTCGGGGGCTGCTGGTGCAATCAAACTTTGCATTAGGACGGTGCGAGCTGGGAGGATTCTGCTCCCCCCGGCCCAGCTCTGGCTTCCTCCCCGCTGAAGGAGCATGCCTGAGAGCGTTGAGCATGCTCCTTTGCGGAGACAGAGCCTTCCTACACCTGCTGCCAGCCCCGCCGGCCCTGAGCGGAATTTGGCTCAAATCATCATCATCATCATCATCTCATCATCATACTAATGATAAGAATATAATTCTCTCTATCAGTCTATACGCTGTAAAGAGGGTGGCTGGCTGGGGAAGGCAGCAGAGAGGGAGCGGGCGCACGGGGCGCGCTCCGCGGGGCCGCTGAGCCGGAGTGCAACGCCGGCCGTGCCGGAGGGGCGGGACACACATACACCTCGCCGCGGTACCGGCGGGGGTAGCGCTAGAGGAGCGATGAGAGAGGCAGGGGAAGATTGCCTTCCTTGGCCGCCTCATGCACAGCCGCCCGCGGGACGCCCCCTCAGGGCGCCGGCTTCCCCGCGGCCGCGGAGAAGGGCTCGCCTCTGGCAAGGTAAACTGGCGAGCACTGAAGTTAGGGGGGCTCCTTTCCTTTTCCTGTAAGATAAGAAAGTACTGAATAAATATATTCACCCCCCCGCCCCCCCCCCCCCCCCCCCCCCCAAGTCTTGCTCGCTGCTCCTACTAATCTCCCCAGGGAAAGGCATCCCAGGACTGTAGCGCTGTTTGAGTATTTGAGGTGACGGTAGTGCAGGAGAGGAAAAGCCCATAGAACGATTTGCTTGAGAACCGCTGATCCTCACGGCGCTTCCAGGGTTTCCAGGGCTTCCCCGCCGCAAACGCTGCTTGCCTGGGCTGCCGGGAAGTCCTCTCCCTGCTTGCCTCAGCATTCACAGGATTCACAGGAGTCAGCTGGTGCGGGAAAGGCAAAACACGAGTATTCCGATTAAGGGGGCGAAAAGTTTTATTGTACCGGATTATTTTAAGGGGTCCTTAAAGAAAATATGTTTATGCTACAAGAGGGCAGCACTTCGCATGAATTGTCCGTAAAGCCTGAGGCACGTCCCGCTGTGAGCAGGACGTGCGTAGGCTGAAGAGGAGGGGGTCTCCCGTTATCCCGTAGTTATCTGCGCTACAATTAGGACGTGTGTTGCAGCGTGTACACGCTGAGCGACCTTGAGCAAGGAAGCAGCTGAGAAGTAAGCATCGGCACTCTTCCGCTCATAAGGATGAGAAGAGCTTCCAAAGGAGGCATTTCTGCAGATGCTGTTGGGGTCTGGGCAGCTCTCTGGGACCAGCCGCTTGGCACGATGCACTTCCCGGCTTTCCCGTGTGATGTGCGGCCGCTGGGAGAGATGCCAGGCGCCGGCAGGACGCCGCCGGGCCGGGAGGCGGCCCCTGCGGCCGGCAGGGGGTGGTGCGGACCCGGCCGCCGGGAGCGGCTCCCGCCGGCGCCGCGGGGCGCAGCGCTCCGCACCTCGCTCCAGCCAGCTGGGCTTTCCTCTCTGTGCCAGCCGTCCAGCCACTCTCCCCCCAGCAGGGATACACCGTGGGGGGCAAAGCTCTTAGGGGTCTAGGAGGTTCCCAGCTGGGTGACCTTGCTGCTGTTGGGCGCAGTAAAGAGCATCTCCCATACTGCTCCAAGTCGTGAAAGCTTTCATCGGTTTCTGGAGAGTTTCAGGAGGGATGAAGTGTTCCACTCCTTTTCTCATGACACAGCTCCTTGCCAGGCCAAAGACACAGTCAGGGCACACAGATAGGAGGCAGACAGAGGTCCTGAGATGTCGAGGGAACTCTCTCCCATACCACACTGCGTGGAGGGCTCATGTCAAGAATGTCAAATACGGTAGCAGCTTGTCGCAGCAGAGCTTGCCAAGAATTTTGGAAACAGGCTGGACACTTTTTTCCTTGATACTGGATTTCCTCTACTATGACTAAGATATGCCAGTAAGCATAAAAAAAATACTGGCAACTTCCCTACTAACAAAAAATAAATATGTCACCTCTAAGGAAAATAGTAATAATGACACTGAAAACAGATACTATGTTATATATAAAGCTTCTATACACCTCAAATCAATCAAAATCTCAGTGTTATTTATCGCATTGATTGGAATGAATTCTGAATTATTTATGTTGATAACAGACATTTTGAAAGGTAATGTTGTGAAAAGCTCAACAAGTATCATGTGTGCAACACCTGCTGATGAAGATAGGTGTGTTTTCCCTTACTAGTCCATGCATGTAATCCTGAAGAAATTAATCAGTATGGAAAACAGAGGCTGCTCTTCCAGAGGTTTTGAGCTGTTCTGTTTTTCCTTTGATCTGTCTCATCTCTCTCTGATGCATACAAGAGCTTCCCTCTGACTTTTTAACTCACAAGCCTGTGGGGTTTTTGTTTTAAAGAAGTGGTACACAAACTAAATAATTCTGTCATAGTTGCATTGCAGTCTTGGGTTTAGTGTTGTGAAGGGCTTTCTGTTACCTAATGTATACGCAAGTCTTCACCTACATTTTGAACATACATTAAACTGTGTGGTTGTGAGTATGATGAATTTTATAGGACTCTGTAGTTTGTATATGTATCTCAAAGATGATGAATTAACTTATTTTGCATTTAGTGTGTGTTTAAAAACTATGTTGAGGCATATAATTGCTTGAAATTGAACATCATTTAAAAGAATAATTAGGAGGAGTTTGTCTTTGCTGGACCCTGTTAACTTGTGATTTGCATTGACATTGGATAGATTATTACAGACTTTGTCCTTCACATTTGCTCATTCATTTGACATATAATTCCTCTAATGTGTATCATGACTGCTTCTCTTATGTTTGTTTAGCAACCACAATTTGTGTACAGTCTTAGAGGGAGATAGTATTCCTTGTAGTGTGTAAACCAGTGATACTTCTGTGGAAGAAAGATGGTTTGTAGTTGAATGTATGGTAACAGTGAGATTATGAATATAATGGATTAAAAAATATCCTGAAAGCCATCTATTGCTTGAAGGCATCGGTTCAGGGAGAATTCTTCACTACAATCCCAAAAATTTTGATTAATAGTGTGCTTAAGTGTCTTGAAATTGCCACTTTGCAATTGCAAAAGAATTAAACACTTTATTTCTGAATAATCTTGTAAATATTAGCTGAATTTTTTTATTCATCCCATGAGAGAATATTTATAGTTTGTTTACAGTTTTACATTTCCTGTTGATATAAAACTACTGACATAACATAGCATGAAACTGGTTATGGAAGAAGTTTTCGTGACAACAGTCTTCCAATTAAATTTATGTAATTTGTAAAATATCCGATAAAGAAATTCAAACAAGAAAATCACAAAAATTTAAGGAAGGGGTACTTCTATGCTCTTGAACATGTAAATCACTTCAGTATTTAAATTACCAGGAGAACTAATACCCTGAGGAATTCTGTAATTTTTTATTTATTTATGTTTTAAAAGGAGGAGACAGAGAAGTTAATATGTTTGGTGTGGTGTGGGAGGACTTTTGATGTTTAGGTAGGTGGTTTTATTTCTGTTTAAAGTCAGTCACTCCATAATAGAAAGTGTAGTACTCTGTAACACTCAACAGCCTCTTATGAAAGTCTGTTTCATTTATTAAAGTCGTCTGCTTGGGACATGGACATCTTAGCGTGGATATTAAAGGATTTGTCTTTTTAATGCAAAACCTTCTCTCTCCTGTCCTTTAGTACGTCCCTCCAAGAAACCTTCATGGTTTACTAGGGTCCTTTCAGCAATACTCAATAAAGACAATTAACCTTTGCATTCACAGTCAAAGCATTCATCCTTTAAACCATTCTTCATGGAAGGTCAAGCTGAAATGGTTTTAAAGCAATATACATGCAAATTTATTTTCTCTGCATTCCTATTGTGGGATTTCCTCTCCATCTCTCAGTATGTGTAAAGACTAGACATAGTTCAGGAAACTGGAGAGAATTCTATGCATAAGATATAGTTGTTCAGCAGACATAGAAAAAAGGTCAAGACAATGGCAGTGCTCTCACTATATGCTTTAGAAATCATTCCTGTACTCTCACTGCAGAGAATCCGTATAATCTGGGACTGAGCTTTTTGACATTGTACATTACAGCTTTGCTAAGCTCAACACTCTTTAAAAGGAAAATACATCAAAATCTGAATGCTTGGTTAAAGCGAAAAAACTACTTTGTCTTCCTGTTTTTCATGGTTTTGGGAAAAATATTGCCTTTTCCTCTGCCACTGTATTTTGCACCTAAAAAATAGATGAAAGAGATTTACATAAAGATTAGCAACACATTTCTTTCTTCCGGAACTGGAAGAGGTTACTGTGTGATGCTACTGTAAGTTGGGTTGTTTCTATAGGTCTGAATGTAAAATTTGAAGACAATATGTAACTCATGTTAGAGTGTTTCAAAGATAAATCTGTAATGTGAAGACACATTTGTGAGTCCCAGTCATGCTTTTGTACTACGTTCCTTAACCTTTTGGAGCTAGTCCGCCTTTTGGAGGTTGATACCGTTTTCCCATCTTCCTGATAAGGCCAGGAATAAGATTGCTTTACTTAAAGTGTTATGGCAAAAATGTTACAAGAGACATTTCCTGTGAAATCATTTCACCTTGTGGCATTTTATATAAATTTTGTAAATCCATATCTAACATAGTTGTTCTATGTCCTCTAAAGATACAGCATTCCAAAGAACAAAGATAAGGATTCAAATAATAATAATACAAAAGGCACTCTAGGTTATGAATAGACGCTTTTCTTACTTTGGCATGGAAGTTCCCCATAGAGAAAGTACTGTCATTTTCTTCTCTTCTTCAAAGAAACCTGGAGAACATGGCTTAGAAGCCAAGTTCCTTTATTTTGAAACACTTTGTATGTTTAAAGAGCTTACAGAAATGTTCTTAATGGCCTGTTGTACTTTTGACTGCAGCCATGTATAATACACTGTAAATCCAGAATTACTTAGTCCAAGAAGGAAGACACATTTATCTCCTAAGCCATCTGATCCTTTGCTAATTCTCAGATATTACAGGTTAACTCTTTGATCCACAGCAAAACCCTTCTTTGTGAAGAAAGATGTTGTGAGGTTGTTATCTATGAGCAATGGGTTTTATTCCTTGTCACAGGAAGGAATGACTGTTGGCTAAGTCACAACAGTGAGAGACACAATATGTGAGGCTTTATTCTCAGCAGTATTACTGCAGCTAATCACACAAGGCCAGATTTACAGAGGTACTGCATAAGTCAAAGAAAGCTTCTAGTGTTCAGCAACTTTAATGAAAAAAGGTGTTCTTTCTGTACCTACTTTCTTATACCTCTGGCTAACACATTTAGAAGGATTGTGTGATATAAACTCTGTGTATTTGCAATTGAAAAGTAACAAATGAGGACAGAGTATCCTTTTCTGCAATTAAAAATTAGCAGTGCTTTGTTGAATCACTGCAGCTACATCAGCAGAAGCACATCAGTGATATGCCTAAAAATTGGTGCCATAAGCAGTAGAAAGCCTCAGCCATAAAAATCTGGCCTTCAGCCATATATCTCTGTTTTA